CAAGATAAAATGAAAGGCAAAAGAGATTTATTACATCGAAAAAGTATGTACCATCTTACAAATTGTGTTTTAAATTACATTTTCATATATGTAATACTTGAAACTTGTATTCAAGTATTCAAGTATTCAACTATTCAGGTATTCAACAATTCAAGTATTCAACAATTCAAGTATTCAACTATTCAACTATTCAAATTTTAACTTCTCAAGTGTTCTACGAATATTCATTGGGGAAGCGCGTTCCCCACCTAACACACCTTTTATTTCAGCGTCGCGGAGTGGGGACGCGAAGCGCCTTTTGAAGAGCCGCGACCCATGTACCTCTCTGTGTACACCATTATTCCTACCCAGTGCTGCACATTAGCTAAAGCTTCTCACATACTTCTTGTAGCATCCCAGATAATGTCTGCAGCATCTCAATCCAAAGCTGTAGCATGTTATGGCATGCTTGTAGCATTCTAGGTGATAATTGTAGCATCCTACGAAATGCTTGTGGCATCATAGGGGATGCTTGTAGTCTCGCAGACAATACCTGTCGATATTAGATGATTCTAGTGGCATTCCAGCCGTTAACTAATTGAGTACTTGAATAGTTGAATAGTTGAACTAATAGTTGAATACTTGAATTCAACTTTCAAGTTTGACACTACTGTATATTTTTTAGTCCATTCGTCAAAGAAGAAACGTTTATTCACGAAAAAATCGAATAATTTTAAAAGAAGCAATAACCAAGTTACCTACTTTGGTTACGACGATAAGCTGCCTATGCTAACTTTAAATACAGTGTATGTACGGCTATAATGGCTGCTCATAAGTACGAATAGAAGCTCAAATAGTTTCATGCACTCACTCTTCGTTTCAATATGGACGGTACTTTGATAGGAAACAAGCATTTAAAGACAATATTAGACATGAGCGTCATCCATCGTTTTTCGTCTCGGTACTCACAGCGATATGAAAAATCTCTGGTCCCGGAACTGAAATCATCATATCCGTATGTACACAATATCTATCAATTGTATCGACGGTTGTCATCAATGACAAATGGCAAAAAACCTTGTTCTCTCAAGGCTTTTGCAAATGCGTAAAAAATTTGTCAGTAGAATTCGTTTATGATATTAAATCTGTCAAACATATTTCCAGAGGAACAGAAAACGTCGATATTTATCTCCGACTAGATAGTCATCTGTGGACTGCAGTTGATCTATTCGCACTTACTGAATTTAGCTTCTATTATCCATGCATCTTTTGCACACATTATAAAGATGGTCGTCATGTGATGAAACATTCAGCTTATGATAAAACTATTGAAGAAAGAAAGGAAAATAATAAGAAAACAATTACTGCTCATGTTGATGCTACTTCTTATTAAGATGCGAATTTTGCCGAACAAACTTCGTGTTTTTCAAAGAAAACTTGTGGCTTTTTCATTATATAGACATGACTTTCTAAGATTTTTTAAATAAATAGTACTTCAGTTGTAGCTTAAAATTTTGGCATTCATTTTGTTTTAGATAACCTGTTGTAAATATGCATAGTTGTTTTGCTAACAATTTGCATATCAACTATATGTTTCATCCTATCGTGACCAAAAATGCGGATGACTAAGTCATATTTCATCTCACGTTTCTATTTTTTATCGCCACATATATCTGAACCCAATTTTTTCCAAAATTCTCTCGGGTCTTATTTCTGTCAAAGTAACTTTTTCTATTTGAGAATGCGGTTTTATGAACAAAAAACCCAGTCGCGACAAATGGCTAGTTCCTAGACCTTTTTCTTCTCACTACAAAAAAAACACATAAAAAAAGCCTAATTACATCTTCTGAAAGCCCTTAAAGCTTTCTCTTATTCTTTACACTTATGTTTTAGTTTTTGCTTATCCACGAGAAAATAAAGAGAGTGAAATGAAGACACTTTCTTCTCCGGATTCCCAGGAACTGAATCTTGTCACTGTCGTCTTAATTAGTAGTTTTTCAAGTTTTTATCACTATAGAATTACTTTTTTTAAAACAGGAATTATAAGTATTTTGGTGCAGCCTGAGATTCTCTACTCTCCTGTATATTCACTTATTATCTTGCATTCTTATATTGAGAAATAATTTTGAGTATAACGAACACACCCTCAATTGACAAGTACCACAAATCGTAAGTTTTCTCTTTTTTTTCAAAATATAGTTGCTACGAAAATATTTTTTTGAAAAAAGCAAATATAGATTCTGATAAAGCTTGTAGTTCTCTATCATCCTATATATTTCTTCTTTGCCTTCCGTTTATATGCAGAAGAACAGTTCAAGTATTCGGTGCACATCCTCCTCAACAAATTCTAAAAAATTTGGATTATCCAATACTAATTTATTTTTCATTTCAACTTTATTATCAGAATAGATATAAAATTTACAACAAGTTTTTACGGCTTGTAAAGGAGAGTACCTACGGAATACTCGAGCTCTTTTTCAACACATAAATGCAACACAAGACAAAAATATATATAGAATATTAGAGAAATTCAAACTTTATCGAAGTCTATAATTACGTTTTTAAAAATTTTTTCCATAGGAATAATAATTTTAAAAAAAACTACAAAAGTAACGTAAATATGCATACTTTTCATACTTGTCAATTGAAGATTTCTTCATTATATTCAAATTAGTTTCCAGGAAACGAGTACCATGCAATAGATAAACACATAGGATGATAGAGAATTTTTAAAAGAAGTAATTAAACATGACAATGGCAAAATTCAGTTCCTGAGAATCTGGACAAGGGAGTGTCTTCATGTCACTTTTTTTCTTTCTCGTGGATAAGCGAAAATTCAAACATAAGTGTAAAGGATGATAGAAAACTTTAAGGGCTTTCAGAAGATGTAATTAGATTATTTTGAAATATGTTTTTATAGTGTTAATGTATTTAAAATACGAACTGATACTATTCATTTCCAGGCATGCAGCATGATTCACTTATTTTTACTAGTTTTCTTCGTTTTGCTTTATCTTTGCCAGACTTCAGAATTTTTTTTTCATTTCTATCTGATCAGAGAGAGAGAGTATTGATTACTCTACCCATTTGTGTAGTTTCCTTTTGATTTATTTTATACTTGTATGACAAAAATGAATAAACGTTGCGCAACAGGTTGAAAAACTTCTTTTCTGTGGAATTTTAGAGATTTTTTTTCTTTGAGTAATTTGAGCAATTACAAAGCAATCGACGAATAATTATCAGTTGTTTTAACATAGTTAGATAGAAAGTTCACTTCTCTATCAAACTATCCATTTTCAGCCGATTTATTTCTCAGTTTCATTGAAATTCAAGTGAATTTCTGACGAATCTTTTTAGTCGCGCAGCTACTTTAATCCTTTGTATGAAGAGACAGTTAGATAGAGCAAAAGTTTTTCTATTAATTCATGCAATATTGGCCTGATTTAGTTACAAGGTGTTATTGGTACATTCGAGGTAGTACGTCGGAACAGTATTGAAAATCTAGTTCTACAAAAGTGTTCAAACTGCAACAGTCAAATTGAATTTTCTCCTCAAATTCAACACATTTTCAGTCGTTCGTATGGGTAATTTTTCGTTTGACGTATCTCTCCGAACTAAAACCATTTTCATGAGAATTAGATTGAGTTCCAGTGAAGTAAATCTGTGCAAAAATTTTGTTGAGCTACGTAGTTCAAAGAATCTTTTGGTTTTTTCATCAAGACATGAAATAAATCAAAAGAAAACTATACATTTGAACAGAGTAACCAATGCTCTATCTAATTATATAGAAATCAAGTATTTCTGAAGTCTGGTAGAGATACAGCATATTGAAGAGAACTAGTAAAAATAAGTGAATCATGCTGTATATATGCATTTTATATATAAAGACTTTATATTATTTAATAAAAAGGTATAAAATGTTAATCTCATCACTCATTTTGTTTTGTTACTCATCCTCAGATGCTATCGTTACATGATAATAATTAAATACAACTAGAAATGTTTGTAGTGATACATGACATTATTTTTTCTAAGTGTCTTCTTTCATTTTAGAATTCATTTTGTTCTTTTACACTTGTCTAAACAGCAATTACTTTTGTTGTGACCGATGCGATAACATCGACAAAAAAACAGTTATATGAAAGTTCTTATTTTCAGTACATATCTACATTTTTGATTTGATAAAAGACCTAAGTTTTTAAGAGATACTATTTTATACAGATGTGAGAACTGTTTGTTCTCACCATGGCTGCGACGGTGAAATTTGAAATGACATTTTTTTAGATTCCTCCGTTCCACCTTAAACTGTACGTAGAGTACGAAAAAAATTATGATTAAGAAAAGGGACAGTTTGGTTGGATTCTATTAAACAAAAAGTAATATCAGTCTATTTGTCTAGCCAATAAAATCAACTTTATATCGTGACTGAAATAGACAATTCTAGTTTCCACAAGTTGAGAATCAGTAATATTTTCAAATTGATGTTTGTTTTGATTGAAATTACATAGAAATTCTAAACCTGTTGAATATACACTGATGATCCTAGTTTGTGTATAATGAATGCTTCTCTATCATAATTCGGTAAAAGAAACTTATACGTTTTGTTGTATATCATCAACATCGACGAATATTTTATATTTAATTTAAAATATGTTTAAAAGACTATTAAATAAATGATTCTATTTGAATGTTTGATGATAACATAAAATATGCTTTTATCATTTTATATGATAGATAGTGCCAAAGATTTTTGTAATAAACAATAATCAAACATTATAATAACAATAGATTCAAAAAGAAATCATACGAATATGTATGTACATGACAGGAGTAGAGCTAAAAAAAGAAACTACGAAATTAGTTACGCAAAAAAAAAAAGAAAAAACCATACAAGTACAATTCAATCTATCTATTCTATCTCTATCTAGTGGCAAAAATATACAAAGTATTATATGATTTTGTTTCACTCTTGAGATGATCATCAAAAAGAAGAAATTAATAAAAGATCAAATATGTTTCAGATGTCGAACTCAGTTTGTACACGTCTGAATGAAATTCATATTGAATCGATATTACATGATCATGATACATTCTTGTTTGATTCTGATGGTGTTCTCTGGTTTTCACCAATTATTCTTTCAGGTGCTATTGAATTACTCAATTATTTAACAAAATTAGTACGTAATCATCTTTCTTGTTTATTTTATTTTTTCGTTCATTTAGAAGGGTAAACGAGTATTTTTTTTGTGACGAATAATTCATTAAAAACTCAAAGAGGATTTTCTCAATGACTCAATCAAATCGGATATGAAGCTAAACCTGTATATTAATTGTTTTTTAAGAATAAGAATAATAATCCATATATGTTTGTATTTGTTTTGTAGGAACAAATTATTTGTACAGCATAAATTACTGCTCAATATCTTAAATCAATTAATTTTAAAGGTCATTGTTATTGCATTGGAATGCCATCGATGGTAGAAGAATTAGAACAAAAAAGTTTTCATATATCAGATGGTATTGGAATAAGTATTAGACAATATGATTTTTCATATTTATTTAATTCATCTATAGTTCGATCCTATTCCACTCGAAGCAGATTGGATCGAAACAAACACAATCGAATTTGATGATAATGTACGTAAAATATTTGTTTTAATTAAATAGTTGTTAAATAATGTTATTTCATTTATTCATAGATTAATTGTGTCATATCTGCATTTGATATTCATGTCAACTATCTGAAAATAATCAAAGCAGCTACTTATCTTAGTCGACTCGCTATGTTATTCTTAACTACTACTGATGATGTCACAACTCCACAAAATGATGTAGCCATCTTGCCTGGTATATTAGAACTTTTTTTAAAAAGATATCTAAAAAAAAGAAAATTATATTTTGATTGTTGTCTATAGGAGAAGAGACGATTTTGGCTTCAATTGTGGCAGCATCAGGTCGTTCTCCAACGATACTAGGAAAACCTCGAGCTTCAATGTTTGATTCGATTCGTTTAGCTTTCTTGATGTTAAACCTAATCGAACTATTACTATTGGTGATAGGTAAAAGATGACAGTCATTCGGAGTACATTTTTTTTTATCATTTTCTATTTTACTAAAATATAGATTGGTGGCAACGGATATTTTATTTGGTATTCATCAAAGTTTGACAACGCTACGTGTATTCAGTAGGGCAACAAGTGAGAAAAAAACTGGATACGATCAAACAAGCAGTTGAAAAAATAATACTATGGACAAAGATCTTCTACCAAAATATTGTATCAAAGATGTTAATCTCATGAAAAAACTTATTCCTAATTAAATTAAATTATTAGATTCATTTGATAGTTGTAAACTTCTTATTGATGTGATATTAATAATAAAATGTTTTTTTTTTATAAAGAATAATGAAATTAAAAGTATTCTATGCTATTCATCAGCAGACGACATTGTTTTCATTAAAACTATCAACTATACGTTTTAACTTGATTAACGTTATTTTTCTCATTATGATGTTTTTTCATAAAAATATTGCACATCGAACAAGAAAGTGGTGGGATCAAAATTTCTCAATAACCTTAAGTCATTCTATCTGCTTTTTTTTCTGTCACATAGCTATACTCGTATGTTTCTTCTATCAGAACGAAAAAGAAGTTATGGTTTTTTTCCTCTATTCGTTTTTTTTTTGTATTACACAAAAGCAAGGCATCGAGTATAGAGCGTTATTTTACTAAACGGCATATTCTCTTGAAACAAACAAGCTCGATGTCGAATGCAGATACATCTACACAACAGCAATCAGCTAACGAAAATAAATCTGTTTTTACGGAAGCAGGTCGATCAAAAATAGCTTTGGAAGTTGGTCAATGTGGCATAGGCGCGTCAAACAACTCAGCAAATGTTGAAAATTCATGTACAAATTGTAATACCGCAAAATGTGACTACAACGATCATTAAAAAACTGGATCGTCAACATAAATTTTTTAGGTTCTATATGTATTTTTATGCAAACAAACTCTTTTACAGTTGAATAAATCTTAGAAAAAAATGAATCGAAAAGGCTAAATATAAAGATTTGTTCAATTCCAGTAGATATTTGTCTTTGAAAAGTCATCCAAAGAAAGTATTTTTTTAAAGTAAGCTTGATTTAATATTTAAAACACTTACATTTGACACAGTAAACAGTATGATTTCATTGAAAGAGTTTAGTTTTCTTTTTCAAAAAAAAGTTTCTTATATATTTATTATTTTGATTGTCAATATTTTTTTCAAATTGCTTAATCATCAATAATTACACAATAATATACTCTTTGACTTCTTTTTATATTTTTGATATTTCTCTTTGAGTTAGTGATATGTTTTTTAAAAAGATTAGATTAGACCGATCAATGAGATTTAAATTATTAGATTTTTTTTCGTTTATTACTAAATCAAATCTCTGAACTAATCTCAGCATCAATAAAACTAAAAAAGAAAAAATATGGAAAATAAAAGAAATATCACAAAAAAAAAGAGCGAAAAAAATTAAAAATAAAACGACACACGATCAAATGCATGATCAATTTGACCAAACAATCTCAATGACATAAACAAAATAATTCTATACAAATCAAAAGAAAATAATGTTTATGCAAACCACATTGTATTCTCAATTGATGGATTAAAGTCAATTTTTATTGTTTGAACATCATCTAATGTTACAATAACATTTTCATCTATAAGTCCTTCTTCAATATCAGAACTAAAATTAAAAATTTCTTTTAGTTTATTTTTAATTTCTAATAAATATTTGAAAACTTACGCAGCAATACTTCGTTGTTCACTAGACATTTGTCCTTCATAATCAAGATTCAAACCACGAGATACACAAAGTGTTGCATAATGAACAGGTGCTGGAACAGATACAGATTTTGTACATCGAACATCCGTATGACATAAATAATATCTAATAATTTTTGTGTTTAAACAAATTATTTGTCTTTTCTTTTTTTTTCATATATTAAAAAAAAATTCTCACGTTAATTGTTGAATTTCGTCTGGTGTAAAACCGATATCATCATATAAAACATTATAAAGCATTGGTCTTGATGTACCTTGAATAGCTGCATGAGAATTAAGATAAAAATCAAATCCATTGGGTGTAACAATATCTGTATCAATAACTGTGCCTTGATTTAAAAAGAAAATCTAATAAACAAAACAAGAAAATAAAAACTTTTACCTGGTTGAATATTATTTGTTTGATTTGATTGTTTATCCCAACTAAAAAATCGAGTATTATGACGTTTTTTAACAACAGTAAAACAAATTTTTGGCAAGTCATTATGACCATAAAGCTCTTTTTCAAAACAAAAAAAAAAAAAAAAAAAGTTAACTTTTTTATTCATAGAATTATTTCAAGATTATTACCTTTACATGCTCGTTGTATAGCTCGTACTTCATTATCAAGTACTTTTTGAAATGATCCATCATCAACACCAGCACGATAAAAAACAAGTTTATTTGGTAAACGAGTATTATGATTTGAAAATTCACGTAATAATTCTCCAACATAAATATGAAGATCTTTTATTATTTCAACTGCTATTTTTCCTTTTGGAGAATATTGTTGAACAACACGACCAGCATATTGTGTACCTAAAACAAAAAAAAAACAAAGGTTTATTTTATATTAACAAAATAATTTTAAAATAAACTTGTTGAATCTTTTGATCCAATAACAGCAGCAATCGATGGTCGTTCTCGTGAACATGTTACATGAGTACAATCAATACCAAAAAACATAAATATATCTGTACGAGGTGATGGAGAAGTTAATGCACGCATTAATGAAACTAATTGATTAATACCACCTAATTTTGCATTAAATTTTTGTACCAAATTCTAATTTTATTTTATTTTTAAATAGAATATTTTTACAAATATAAATAACTTACTTGAATATACATATCCATTTTACGTGGTTCACTATTCGCCATAAGTTTATCAAAACGAGTACATTGTGTTACCATACCTGTACAAATATATATATATATAGAATAGATAACATATTGATTATTGATTATCACAGAAATCAAAAGAGAGATGATTATTTAAAATAAAAAAAGTCAATTTGTTTTTGGTAATGTTTTCTCATTGAAAAAAGCAAATTCTTCTATATTAGCTTTTTACAGTTTTAAATTTAATGTTTTTTTCCTATTCGTCTCTATAAATTGTTCAGGTTAACAAGAGTTTTATCGAAGTTGAATTAATCTATCTCTGACTGGTGATTTTAGATATCGATGACTTCAATTTCTGCCAAATATAGATTATTGGAAACAATCTTAATGTAAAACTAAAATATGTTATTATGTTTTTAGAATTTAATGCCTTATGGATTATTCTTCATAATATAAAAGAATAAAAGTTCTTATTTTAAATAATGAATCAAAGTTTCAACATAAATAGGGTAGAAAAAAAAAACATTTGACAACAATATATTTTTGATATTTTTCTATGATATTTATCACTTAGCTCAAATCTAAATAGATTGTAATTATTATCTTGAAAACTGAAATAGGAAATAATTAATTTTAAGTTAAACAGAAATAAAAAAAAGTATTCTTACCAAGTTTAATATTTCCAAAAAATTTAATGACATGATAAATATCATCACCGACTTGATTAAGAATATAAATGATAACTTCACATCCTAACATTTTAAGTTCATTCATTCGTGCTAAAATTATATCAGGTACAGCAGCATCTGATTTTTCAATTGCTGCTGAATTAAATCGAATACCATATTTTGACATTGCCTTTAGAACAAAAGAACAATTTTTGTTTTTTTAAATTAAATTTCTTCATTAAAAAATAAAAAACAAATGTTCTAACCTGTGGAATTTTACTTGCAAAATCTCTAGCTAAACCAACTTGTCTAGCATCAGGTTCTTTTTGGCTAACAAGAACAAGTGCCCATGCACGTATTTCACGTGCTTTATTAAAATGATTATTTAAATACCATTTTCCAATTTGTACTCGTTCAATAATATCACGTTGATCACCTTGTGCTGATTTATATTTTATTTCCGGTGGTGTTAAAACTCTAGCAGGTATTATTAACATATCATTAGTATGAACTTTAATACCAAATTTTTGTAAATAAGGATCTTGATCAAAATGACATTCATCAGCAACACGTCGAATCATTCCAAAACGTTCACCTGGTTTAACAACAGTTTTTTTAGTTACTTTTGCTCGTTGATCAGTTGTTAATGGTTTTAAACTTCGTTGCCATTCATCAACAGTAACTAATTCCATTGGTAAAAAATGTGATTTATTTTTATCAGCTGGATTAAATAATTCAACAACAGGTAATTGTGGATAACGTAAACGAATTTTCCATTTTTCTTGAAAATAATCTGTAACACTAATTTGTTCACCTTCACCTTCACCATGATCTTTAGAAAATGTATATTCATTTGATGAAGGACCAAACGATTTTAAACGATATTTTCGAATTTGATTTGTATGTGATGTTGCAAACCAAAGAGATTTTAAGATTTTACGCACTAATAATGGTTGATCTTTTGGTGAAATACCTTTAAATAAATATATTTATCTTATCTATTTTTTATTTTACCAATTGAGATTCGAATATATTTAAAGAAAATATTCAAATTAATGGAAATAGTACTCATAGACGTCTTCGAACTGTCTTGCAAGTAACGACTTCATTTTTGTGACTATATATGTTAATATTATCATCGATTTACTACGATTTCAGCTTATTGTAAAAAACTTTTAGTCGAAAATTTTGCTGATAAATAGTTTCGATGACTTTTGAAATTACGTAAAATTAGTTCAACGAAAGCCAATATATATATATATCTTTATCAAAATATTGAATGTTGAGAATCAATAATCATTTTTAGTTTGAACTATCGAACTGCTGAACGGAAATATTTCTTCTTAAATACAAAAATTTAAGCATGATCATTTTTAACAAAAACTATTTTGTATTGATTTTGATCAATCATTGCAATTAAAAAGTTCTTAAATGATTTAAAATCCATTATTGATTTTCATTTCATCTTACCATGAGAGATAAAACTACAAGAAGCTCGAAATTTGACCATAGGCTAGATCGTATAGTCACTGAAAATAGTTTAAAGATTGGACCATATCCTTGCTAAGATATTCAGATTTCACAGAAACGCCTTTATTTGCGCTGTTTAAAAAAAACCGGATGTTTCTATGACAAGTGCATATTTTGATAGGGATATATTTCTTCTAGCTGAATATTTGAGTTGTTTCTAATGATTTTTATGGGCAAAATTTTAGTCCGAAATTCGTTCATTCAGGTTCTTAACGATTCTCCAACTCGTAGGAAAAAATTGAATAGACTACATATAAGTCGATAGGTGAAGATCAAATGAAAAAAATCAAACAGACTTTTTCTCCATTAATCAATGCTGATCAATGACAATAATCTCAAATGATAAATGATTGAACAGGTAGAAACTTTTCTTCGTGCAATAAAACAAAAAATAAATTTGATAATATTTAAATGATGATAATAAAAAAAAAAGGTTTTGAAAAATAGTTTTTCTATGCTAAACTCACCATTTCTTCTAATATCTTGACCTAAATAACAGGAAATAAATTCAACTAGATTATAATTTTGATAAAAACAACAAAAATTATTATTAATATTCAATGTTGGACCACGTTCACCAAGTACCATAGCTTGATAAAATCCTGATGCTAACCCACGACCATCGCCTTAATAAAAAGCAAGACTTCACCAATGAAAAAGAAAAAAAAAAGTTTTTTTTTTTTTATTATTTTGTTGAATATTTTACCAAGATCATCTAATTTTTGATTTTTTGGATATGATTGATTTTTAATAGTAATCATTTCAGCTCTTTGTGTTTGTTTAAATAAAGTTTCTAAAATTCTAACAGGATCATGAGGAC